AGCTGGAAGCCTCAATAGTCCTACTGTGCTGCTGCTGGGAGCCTCGGAGGGGGGGGGAGTATTAAATCACCCAGGGGTGGCAGGTGGGGCCGGGAGGTGCATGGGAGCACATGGGCTGGTAGGCAGGGCCTGCAGATGTGTGTGTGTGTGTGGGGGGGGACTTTTAGAGAGAGACATATGGAGATTGAGTTTGAGATCTGTGGTCTAGATGCTTCCAGTTAAATAAATGGAGATTGAGTTTGAGATCTGTGGTCTAGATGCTTCCAGTTAAATAAATGGAGATTGCCTATCTCCTAGAACTGGAAGGGACCTAAAAAGGTTATTGAGTCCAGTCCCCTGCCTTCATAGCAGGACCAAGTACCATCCCTGACAAATTTTTGCCCCAAATGGCCTCTGCAAGAATTGAGCTCACAACCCTGGGTTTAGCAGGCCAATGCTTAAACCACTGAGCTATCCCTCCCCCTGGGTTATTTGGTGGCTGGCTGTCAGCACTTGAAACTAACCAAGGGGAAGGTTTATATTAGGAGTGTTAACCCATGGAATCTGGAGCATCTCCCTGCTTGCTGCAGGCAGTGGGCTGCTCCAGCCCTGCAGGGGACCCACCATGAACAGGGGCTGCTCCGGCAAAGCTAGGAGCCAAGAGCTGGTGGCAGCTCCAGCACTCATGTGGGGACTGGGACCCTGCCCCATCATGGGGCTGAGAGCAGGAGCCCTGTGGGACTTGATCCAAGCCCCTTTCAAGTTAATGGGAGACTGTTAATGTTATTGCTGAGAATCATAGAATCATAGGATTGGAAGATACCTCAGTAGGTCATTGAGTCCAACCCCCTGCCTAGAGCAGGACCAACCCCAAATAAATCACGCCAGCCACGGCTTTGTCAAGCTGGGACTTAAAAACCTCTAGGAAGGCGCATTCCAGTGCTTCACCACCCTCCAGCTAAAATATTTTTTCCTAATATCCAGCCTCTCCCTCTGCGGCTTGCTCCTTGTTCTGCCATCTGTCACCACTAAGAACAGCCTCTCTCCATCCTCTTTGGAACCCCTCTTCAGGTAGTTAAAGGTTGTTGTCAAATCCCCCTTGTTCTTCTCTTCAGTAGACTAAATAAGCCCAAATCCCTCAGCATCTCCTCATAGGTAATGTGCTCCAGCCCCTTAACCATTTTGGTTGCCCTCCACTGGAGCCACTCGAATGCATCCACATCCTTTCTGTAATGGGGTTATGGGATGTAAAATTTTAATTAATTGGCTAATGGAATAGTCAATGCAATTTGCATCAACTATTCAATTAGTCAATAAGGCCATCTCCACCTTTGAAGTGTAGCAATAGCCCCAGGGCTGTTGCTACACTGCAAAGGAGAAAGCACTCTGGGGAGCACAGGGCCAGCAGGGGAATCAAGCACTCTCTCACTGGCCCTGTGTTCTCGGTGGCGTTTCAAAGTGGCAGCGCCGCATGGAGAGTCCCCAGCTGACCCTAAGCTCCATGTGGCACTGCCGCTTTGAAACGCTGTGGGGAGCCCAGTGTCAGGCTCCACGCGGTATTTCAAAGTGGCAGTGCCACATGGAGCCCAGACCCTGGGCTCCATGCAGCGCTGCCTCTTTGAAATGCTGTATGCAGCCCGTGGCCAGTTGGTGACTCCCAGCTGGTCCCAGGCTGCACTCAGTGTTTCAAAGTGGCAGATCCTGTGCTCCACAGCCTAGGTTCCACGCAGCACTCCTGCTTTGAAGCATCCCTTCTTCCCCCTCTCCCTTTCTGATAAAGGCGGGGGGGGGGAGAGACGACTAGCTTGTTGACTGTTCAATAAGCATCTACTTATCGGATAGTTGACTGGTCGTTCACATTTGGGGGGGGCCAGAATTGGACACAATACTCCAGAAGTGGCCTTACCAGTGTCCAATAAAGAGGAACTGGTTAAACATAATCCAATCGGGACTCATGAGGCTCCCACTACCACTGCATGCCCTTCTGTCATCTTCTGCTTTCTCTTTCCTCTCCCTTCTGTCTGCAGTCTAATTGGTTTCCACTGAGCAGGGTAATAGCTACAGGAAGGTGCTGGATTTAATTCCAGTCTGCTTCAATTCATTCATCTTGCCTGAGGTGCCTGAGTCACATGGCAGCCTTTTGTAAATTACCTTCTGCAAAGAGGCAGGTGACCATTTTCCTCCGCTCTTCAGTAATTTATCTAGGTTAAGTGTTTGTGAGAGAGAAATGGTCCACATATTCATTCTGCTGATACCATTATTGGACCTAACCAAGTGAGTTATAAGATCAAGAACACATATTCCTGCGCATCCAGAAATATAATCTATGCTATCATGTGCCGAAAGTGTCCGTCTGCTATGTACATTGGACAAACATCTCAGACACTTCGCCAAAGGATTAATGCCCACAAAACAGATATCAGACAAGATCACAAAGAAAAAACAGTTTCTTGCCATTTTAACCAGAAAGGACACTCTCTCAATGACTTGACCACCTGCATTCTGCTACAAAGACCTTTTACATCTGCACTTGAAAGGGAATCCTCTGAACTGTCATTCATGTTAAAATTCGACACTTGCCAACAAGGACTTAACAAACATTTGAACTATCTCACCCATTACCAAGACAGTTTCCCCAATTATCACCTCTAATACCATTAACTCACAAACATCCCACTCTCCCTACCTCTAATATCATCAATTCACAGACACTTACCTTCCTTCCTCCCCCTTCCCACCCCCCCGCATCCCCCTTCTGTTCTGCAATGTGATTTGTCCTTTTCATATTTGTTCATTTTTTTAAATTGTATCCTTTGGTATATATGGTTGTGACTACTTTCTTCCACTATTTGATCTGAGGAAGTGGGTCTGGCCCACGAAAGCTCATCATCTAATAAACCATCTTGTTAGTCTTTAAAGTGCTACATTGTCCTGCATTTTGCTTCAACTACCCCAGGCTAACACGGCTACATTTCTATCACCAATCTGGAGGGGTAGTTACACTTCAGTCAGTTCAGACAATGGGACTAGACAGATCCCTAGTTTTTTCCCTTCCCTTCAATTAAGACAAAGCTTCTGCTTTGGGATTCTTTGCAGAGGGAGCAGCCTACTCTTTTTCATTGAAATACAATCATTCCTTGAAAACTAACACTTTTGTTCCACCTCTGCATTCCAGCCCTGCCCTACGCTGGCATTGACCCGGGATTGTTCTCTGAGTTCTTTCATTTTGTTCACTCTGCAAATGCTGCTGTAAGCTGAAGTGGCAGTTGAAGGAGAAATACATTGTTTTTGTGGTTTATGTTATGCTACAAGAATATTCCTGGCTTCTAAGGGGCTGCTCTAAGCAATACTGTCTCACCTGGCAGAATCAGTATTTATGTACTTGTGTACTCATCTTGTTGCCATGTTGGTCTTTTACATCATGGCTAGCCTCCTAATTATTAATACCCATGCAAGCAAGGACACAGACTGCTGTTTCACTTATAGCTTGTCTGCTTAGGATCTTGATGTTTTGCTTGGGCGTTTCAGTGACAGTGTAGTTGGGTACTCCTCTTGTTGATCCCAGGACCATTGCTCATATGCTGGCATGCTCCTTCAGTGAGCAGATCTGCGGCTCTGTGTGTAGCTGCAGCTCTGATAATGTAAAGGCTTCCGGTTTGGTGACATGTAGGTCAAGGATAAATTGTCTGGGAGCCTTGCATTAACTAACTGCAATCAACAAACACCATCGTCTGTCTACAGAGCTCTGTTGACACCTGCTGCTTTTGCTCTGTGTCTGCTGTCCTTAGCCACCTGAAAATTCATCCAAAATGCCTGCTAAAGAGGTATGTGTTATGCTGTGCCCTGAAATCTGATGAATTGTCAGTGGAGAAGGCACTGTGCTGAGCAAACCCTGAATGGATCTGTCTCAGGAACAGGTAGTCAGACATGATGGGGCATAAACACAGAGATGACTTCTTAACTAATTGGTGCTAGACCTTAAAGGCTCTATAGATTGTCACCAGCACTTGGAATTTCACCCTGATGGGGAAGAGACATCCAGCATGAGGGTGACACAGTAGCCTGCTTGCCTCGTTGAAATGGGCAGCAGTTCAGCGCTAGCTGAAGCTTTTGTGATGCCTGCTGCCTAGGCCTTGGCATAATGCATTGTAGAGTCACACAGACAAAGCTGTAGCAGAATCTGGATCGGAGAGGAAAGGCTGCATCCTCTTGACCAGCTCTCTAACATAGGTACTTACATGGGCCCCATCACCACAGCATCTGAGCCCCTCAGAATCTTCAGTTTTCTTATTCTCAACACCCTGGGGAGGCAAGGCAGTGCTGGTGTTTCCATTCTGCAAATGGGAGACTAAGGCAAAGAGACCAACTGACTTGGCTACAATGCCATAGATAGTTTGTTGCAGAGTGGAGAATTGAACCTGGGCTTCTCATGGCATCCTAACCACAAGGTCATCCTTCACTCTGGGCCACATGCAGACAAGGCTCCACTGTGGCACGCTGCTACCTGAAAACTCAAAAGCAGAGACTGTTACATGTCTTGGCAAAGGAGGGGCACTGTCCCCCTTCCCATCGCCACATAGTAGGAGCAAGTGTAACTCTTGCCTGCTTCCTGGGATGCGGTACCCTGCCAGTTAACATGGCTTCAGGAGTGAGTTAGGGTTGTTAAATTTAGATTAATTGGCTAATCAAATAGTTGATGCAATTTGCATCAACTATTCGATAAGAGCGTCTCTGCCTTTGAAGTGTAACAACAACCCGTCTCTGCCTTTGAAGTATAGCAACAGTCCCAGGGAGCTCAAGGCCAGGGGGGAACTCAAGCAGTCCTCAGCTGACTCCGGGCTCCACACAGCGCTGCCACTTTGAAGCACCCTCTCCTCTCCTCTCCTGTCCTCTCCTCCCCTCCCCTCCCCGCCTCTTTCTGATAGCCTGAGAGGAGGGGGAAGTGACTAGTGGACCAATAGTTGACTTGTCATTTGCATTCCTAGAGGGAGTTGAAAGAGACCTTATCTTCTCCAGACAGTAAAGAGGGGCCTGAAATGCACAGCAGACTTGGTAAATATGCTGAAATTTTGGATGGAATTGAGGGTGAGGGCACCTAAGTGAACTAGTCTGATGTTGTAATGCAGTTATTTGTATTGCTAGTTCTAAGGAATAATAAAATGCTGGTGTTTGGAATCTGCCATCACAGAACGTTACCCGAGTCAGAAGGAGAAATCTCTTAGCAACTGATTTCAAAGGAGGACTTCAGTCTTGCTAAATTGGCATTTGTCTGGGGTTGTATATAAAGTGTCTGAGTCTCTCAATGAAATAGTGGTGCCTGTGGGACAGATATACTTCAGACTTGGTTCTGTTTTCTTTGCATGCACAGTGTCCATTGACTTCAGTAGGAGCTTTAGGTCCCCAAAGAATGGGGACCAGACCTTTATGCATTTCACTGTATTGCAGAACAAAATGTGAGCAGCGACACTTGATGTATCTTTCGTCACTTGTGGCCTGCTTTCCAGAGGTCCTGATTCTTGAGAACAGGAATAGCAACAAATGTTGAACCCTGCAAAATCGGATCCCTGGTACCGTATGGCTCCTAACATAATGCTCAAGAAAATTAAGACTAAAGGAGACTGTGAAAAGCTTCAAAAAGATCTCACCAAACTAAGTGATTGGACAACAAAATGGCAAATGAAATTTAATGTTGATAAATGTAAAGTAATGCACATTGGAAAATATAATCCCAACTATATATACAATATGATGGGGACTAATTTGGCTACAGCTACTTGAGAGAGATCTTGGAGTCTCTGAAAACATCCACTCAGTGTGCAGTGTCAGTGAAAAAAGCAAATACAGTAAAACTCCAATAGTCCGGCATCCAATTGTACAGCACTCCTGATAGTCCAGCATCAAAATGGCAAGAACCTAGTGAGTGAGCTTCAGCAAAAAACGAGTCACAAGGCAACAGCAACAGCAGCAGCAGCTGAACCGAGCGAAAAGGGTTAAAAAAACTAAAACATCATAGTATACTGTATACAGTATGTACAATAAAAAGTGTTAAGAACACTTTGTATACAGTATATAATGTATACACTATATAACCAGCTTGTAGTACCTCCTGATAGTCCGGCATATCCAATAATCCGGCACCACCTAGGTCCCAAAGGTTCCAGATTATCAGAAATCTACCGTAGAATGTTAGGAGTAATTAAAAAAGGGAGAGAGAATAAGACAGAAAATACCTTGTTGCCTCTATATAAAACCATGATACACCCACTTCTTGAATACTGTGTACAGATGTGGTTGCCTCATCTCAAAAAAGATATATTGGCATTGGAAAAGGTTCAGAAAAGGGCAACAAAAATGATGAAGGATTTGAAACAGTCCCATATGAAGAGAAATTAAAAAGACTTGGACTTTTCAGTTTAGAAAAGAGGAGACTAAAGGGGAGGATATGATAAGGTCTATAAAATCATGACTGGTAAGGAGAAGTTATTTACTTATTCCTACAATATAAGAACTGTGGGTCACCAAATGAAATGAATAACAACAGGTTTAAAACAAAAGGAAGCTTTTCTTCACTTAGCACACACACTGTGGAACTCCTTGCCAGAGGATGTGGGGAAGGGCAGAACTTTAAGAGGGTTCAAAAAAGAGCTAGATAGATTCATGGAGGTTAGGCCCATCAAAGGCCATTAGCCAGGATGGGTAGGAATGGTATCCCTAGCCTCTGTTTTTCTGAAAGTGGGAAATAGAGGAGTGATCACGAGAGGATTGCCTGTTGTGATCCCTCCCTCTGGGACATCTGGTATTGGCCACTGTCGACAGACAGGATACTGAGCTAGATGGACCTTTGGTATGACCTAGTATGGCCGTTCTTAATGCTAGTTTCTGTATAATCTGCTGACGCTCAAAAGGGTTTCCCAAGATTATAGTAGTGTAGAAGTAACTTGGGAAATGGAAATTTTATGCTGTGGGTTTTTCTGCAGAAAAGCAAACTCTGAAGAGTTTGGAGTCTGTTCTTTCAGGTCTGTGAAGTGAGTGTATTGCTAGGGTAGTATCTTAATGCTTGGTTAAACCAAATGTCTTGGTATTGACATTTGGTAAAAGGGCTATGTTGCCCAGAGGGGTGGTATTTTTGGGGTTGAAATAAGAGCTGGTTGTCTTGTGATATTTTCACTATCCAGGAACTGAAGTACCCCTAGAAGATGACGTGCTGTTTTATTTGGCCCCATAAATGGCTGGCTGAAGCATTTTTTAAAAGTTCCAAAAGATAAAAACATAAAAGAAGCATTAGAAACCTAACTGCTTCATCTCATGCATGTCTTGTATTTCTGCTAATTGGTGTAGGATGGGCTGTTTAGCTTTTCCTCGGGATGGAGCAGGTGGTCACTTGGTTATTTTCTAAACTAATCCAAAGTCAGTGTTCTCCCTTGATTGCTCCCCCATTGCCCAGTCTGCCTAACAGTGTGTTCAGTAGCTATGCCTGGGGATCCGTTTTGGCAGTCCCATTGTTTCCAAGGTACCGAGGGAGTTGGGGAATGCCCTATGCCAAAGGCATCTCTGAAATTCTCAAATAAAAAAAATAATCTGAATTTTTGCATGTTGCTTTCACTGGACTAAGAGCCCCACTCTGTGAGAACTCAGATTTTGAAGAGCACAGACCTGACATGGGGAAGATGTTTGTGAGAAATTTCCTCCTTCCTCTCACCCTTTTGTCCTGCTTCAGTAGTGAGATTGGGAGTGAATTCGCTCACAGCCAACAAAGTGCTTGTAGCTACAAATCTGTGGTGGTGACACAAGTGGTTCTTGCCAAGAATCATTGTTTAGGATTCCAGATTGGGCTATAAATAGTCTGTGGCAGCTCAAACAGGGTATCAAAGTTGAAGCTAATTCTTCCTCGGAGAAGCAGCGTGAGTGCCTAGATGGAATGTGAACTTGGAATCTAGGAAGTTGAGGGTCAGAACCCTCATAAATTAGGACCCTAAAGTTTGGGCTGTTGCCTGACTCAGTGTTGAGCTTTGCTGTAATCAAGGTGAGGTTTTGAGTGCAGTGTTCTTGGAAAGCAGGCTGGTGACTAGGTGTGGGTTAAGGAGCCTGTCTTCACAGTACTCCTGAAAATCAGGTATTAAATCACTTCACCTCACTCTGTCTCCATTTCACAAGTGCGATAATACAGCCCCACCTCTCAGAGGGGTTTATTAGTATATTAGAATGTGTTGGAGCTATAAAGGGCTGTGGAACTGCTAAATGGTTTTGTGTACTTTTGGAGTTCATCTGTTTGTCTTACAGTACTAAGGTCAAACATGCAGAAGCATAATTATTGCAGACAGAAGCAGAAATAAAAGCAACAGGTCCCTCCTGTTTCAGTTCAGCTCTCATGGATGTTGCTTTGGTCTGAAATGCCCAGCTGTACTTTTCAAACTTTTTGTTCTTTCCTTCCCAGCGGATCGTTTGAAAGAGGTACAGCAGATCCGTGAGCAGCATCCAAGCAAAATCCCGGTAAGTGCCAGACACTGGGCGATGGTGGACATAGAGTTGAAGGAGGAAAGCATGAACCAAGTCCCCACAACCGCAGGGACAAGTCTTCTGCCCCCCCTCCCCCCGCAGGAGCCTCCCCAACCCTGGAGCACCACACACAGTGCGGGTGATGTCTGTCCTGAACCTCCTTGGCCCCAGCGTCTGCAGCCTCAAGGAGGCTGAATCCTGGGGGCAGCAACACTCTGCCCCCCGAATGCCACTGTCAATGTGGGCAGGACCATGCCAGGCCATCTGGGAGGGTATTGCCTTCCCCTGCCTATTATACCCACTGCCCATGGTGCCAGACCTCCCTCTTGTGTCTCTTCAATTATTTCGACTAGGTTTCTGAGAGCAGCTGTCACTTGGACATCACTATGTGTAGCATAACTCCTGCAGCAGTAGCTAAGATTCTAATGCTTCGTCCCTCAAAGCCAATGCTAAACTCGTTAGAGGGCTTTTCTCCCATCTTTCTTGCATACGTGAGCTGCTTAGCGCTAGAGAACCTCATTGTGAGCAGTACAAACCAATGGGCATTAGAGTTTCTGCTTCCTGTACCAGCCCTATTAAGGGACAGATGGCTGATCTGATCTACGATGGACCTCAGTGGCATCTGTGCATGAGAGCAAGATTTTAAAATGTTCTGCTTGATTATTGTAGTAACTGACCTTCTAACCTGTCCCAGGTAGTTTGATGTCCTCTCCTCTCAGCTTGATTGATTGAGGATTGGGGGGAGGGGAGATATCTATTTATTTAAATGGGTTTTGGTTTGGGTAATAGTTTGCATCCCCCTGCCTCCTATCAATTGTATAACTGCGTAATATACAAGTGACAGGACCCCCCAGCCAGGACGGAATGGGGGATGGGGGGGGACTGAAGTGTTGGCCAAAAGCCTTGTTATGGGCACACTAGAAGAGATGTGAAAAGCCTCTGCTGCTTTTTGACTGTCTAGACTTGCCCCTGTCGGTTTATGTCATAGGCTTCCCACGTATTTTTTAGGCTATAGACAGCAATTGAAAGGTTTGTGCAGTCTCACTCCCCAAGCTCCTTTTCTTTCTGGTCTGTCTGAGCTTGTTCTAGCTCCTCAGTGGTGCCCCTCGGTGAGGAGGAATATTCTTTACTTGGGAGTTGCTGCTTTTTGAACTTAACTAAAATGTGTCTAGGACTAGGGATGTTAGTTGGCGTGTAGCCATATTATCGGTTACACGACTATTCAGTAGTCCCTGGGGGTGTGGCCAGCAGCCAGTGAGCTCCTGGCCCCCGCTCCCAGGGAGTCCCCTGCCAGCCCATGCTACTGCCTCCATATCAGAGGCAGCAGTGCAGGGTGGCAGGCGGGAGCCAGTTTAAAAATCAGCTCCCTGTGCAGACCTACTGCCTGTTGCCCCACCCTGATAACTCTGATACAGAGGCAGCAGTGTGAGTGGCAGCAGCTCCTGTCTGGCGGCGGGGGGAGTCTGAGCTCCCTGCGGACAGAGGCCACTCTGCCTCGCATGTGGCAGCCTCCGTCCTCAGAGAGCCTGGGCCTATCATGGAGCCAGTGCTGTGGGGAATAGATATTTTACCCCCACCCCCCCCACCCCTCAGCACTGGCTCCTGCTTGCCCCCTCTCGCTGCCTCTGTAGAAGGCAGCAGGGGGTGGGCAGGTGGATTTGCAGAGCCGGCACACTTGGAGAGCCAAAAACCAGCTCCCCGTGCATATTGGCTCTAGCCTGCCCTCCTCACTCTCCATGCTGCTGCATCTCTGAGAGGAGAGCCTGCTTAAAGCCAGCTTTTCACAGGTACCGGCTCCTTCCCCCCCACCGCCCTTGCTGCCTCTGTCTCAGGGAGCGCGTGTAGTCAATAAGATTAATTGATAAACCAAGGCTTATCGGTTAATAGTGTAGTCAGCTACACATTGACATCCCTATCCAGGACTTGCTTGTAATGGCATTTGTGTTGCAGGGGCACAGGAAGGAATCGAATCCTAGAACACTACAACTGGAAGGGGCCTTGAGAGGTCATAAGTGCAGTCCCCTGCCCTCACAGCAGGACTAAGCATCAACTAGATCAATTGTTTCTTATCTGGTTGGCACCTGTCATTAGGTGGCTTCAGGCTTGTGGTTCAGTCCCATCTGGGTTCACTTCCCAACTCAGGTTGCCCGGGTAGCTTTGGGGGAGTACAACAGCCCTGTTTTCTCTCTAGCCTGAGCAGGAGATGATTTCTAAAGAGTGGCCAAGCTACTCTCCCTCAGCCCAAATTCATTGTTTGTTTCTCCCACAGGCTCTTCCCTCAGGTCTGAGTCTCTGCCCCCTGGGCAGTCACTCCAGATTTCAAGCCTGTTTACGGGAGTCTTGTAGGGCTTAACGTGCCTTTGAGAGAGCTGCCATATTCTGCCAAGTGTGCAGGTCTGTGGGCTGCAGTAGGAACCCTGCCTCCCAAAGGAATGTGATTATTTATATGCTCCGCATAACTCACTGACTTCAGATAATGTACTCGTGCATCTGGCAAGTGCTCTAAGACTGGGGCGAGGCGGCAATATCTGAACTGGAGAAGAGCAAAATAGGATCTCAGCCGCTCTTCGTTACAGAGTGGACTGGGGCAAATCACCATCAGAACAGAGAGGCCAAGGATTGGCTGGGCCATCGAGATGGCAATACGTCCTGTGGCCGCCATAGCCAGTCTCTCCCAACCAGGGTGCGGAGGTTGTATGTGATGTTGGTATTGTTGGCTCAGAGCCCTGAGCCCTCCTAAGGGCTCTGTTTGGGACCTTTCACCTGCGCTCTCCTCCCACCCTTACTAAGGCAGCATGCTGGTCAGCATCTGGGCTACTGTGGGCTAGGCACACTACAGCAGAGGTCTCCAACCTTTATAACCACAAGACCTCTTTTTCAATTTCAGTACAGCGTAAGATCTACCTCAGACCCAAATACCCTTGCCCCGCTTCCTTCCCACCCTTTCTCCGAGGCTTGTTCCATCCCCTTTTCTCCCCCATCCTCACTCACTTTCACCCGGCTAGGATAGGGGGTTGAGGTGCAGGCTCTGGTCTTCGGCCAAGGGGTTTGGAGTGTGGGGGGGCTCCTGGCTTAGCCCAGGGTAGGGGATTGGAGTCTAGGAGGGGTTTTAGGATGCAAGCTCTGGGAAGGAGTTTGGGTGCCTGGGAACTCCTGTCTGGGGCAGGAGGTTGGGTGCAGGAGGAGGTTCAGGGCTGGGAGAGGGGTTCAGGAAGTAGGCTCTGGGTGGGCACCATTTAACTGAGACAGCTTTCGGATGGTGGAGCAGTGGGGTTAAGGCACCACTCCTGAAAGCAGCTGGCATGTACAGCCATGGCTCCATGGTGCCACGTGCTGCCCCTCATCTACAGGCACTGAGCCCACAGCTTCCACTGGCCACAGTTCCCCATTACTGATCGCTGGGAGCTGCAGGAGCAGTGTCTGCAGGCAAGGACATCAGAGACCCCCTGCTCTGCCTTTCTCAGGGGCTGCAGGGACATGCCAGCCGCTTCCAGGAGCAGCAGTTACCATAGGGATAATGACTCCAGCCATGGTGGGTTTGGCATTTTAGAACTCACTTACATTTAATTTTTTGAGTAGTATAAGAGAGAAATGAAAATTATGAAATGCACAGACCACTCAACCCCCAAAATAACCCACTTTGCAAGCAGTAAAAGAATTAACAGCCCCTCCCCCCCTCCACACACACACCCCTCCGTGTTGGGTCAGGAAATGAGGGAAGAACAGTGTGTGTTTGAGAATGACAGAGACACACACACTGTGTGTGAGACAGATTTGCATTGCCAAGCTCCCTCCATCCCCTTCTCTCTGTGCGGAGGGAGGAAGGACACCGTGACATCAGCCCCCCCTTCTCCCTCCCACACCCTGCACAGCAAGCAAGAAATTCCAGGGTGCGGATCCAATGGAGAGGGCAGAAGCAGCATGACAGTGGGTGGAGGGGCAACTGAAGTGTCAGGGCTTGATAGCTTCCTGGCCAAACCAGTCAGGATCACCTGTCAGAGGCTCCAACATTTACTGGTAGATCCCGATCTACTGGTTGGTGACCACTGCGCTGCCTATCAGGCTAGGCACTGTGGAGTGTGAAATAGAAGATGAGCAGCATGCAAAAGGAGAGGAGGGAGGCACTTTTACCACCTCTTTTGTGGTCCTTTTAGGGTGTGATCTTTGGTTTATAATTCCAGCCACAGATGAATAAGGCATGTTCCAGGTGCCTCCCTACCAACTGGCCATGCAACCCCTTTGTCTGCTGATTCAAATGTTAGTTGAATCCTTGAAACAAAATCCCAAGGAGTTGTTGCTTGTCTTGTAAAATGAGACGGAAAGCTGGAGGCATTAACCAGCTGCTGCTCCAGCAGCCTGGCATCTCTCTCAGACTAGTCCTATTGTAATCGAGCTGCCAGACTCTCTGATGGCCATGGCTGATAATTAGAGATGTCTGTCTGCCTCCATTCCCGTTAGATGTGACTGAGAAACAAACCACAGGCAGATGAATGGGCCATATCCACAGAGGAAGGTAGCACAGGCAGGTAGTGAGTGCAGAGCAGTGCTGTTGTTCTCCAGTCTGTAGCCCTAGCCTATGAATTACCTAAGATTTGAAGGATCTGTTGCTGTTGCATCCCTTTGAATTCCAGACAATAACTTGATCATTATCCATACATTACAGGCCTTCTTATTTGGGCTCTCATCCTTTTATCGCTTCATCCCTGCAGCCAAAGAACTTGGCTCTCAAAGTAAAGAGCAGATGGACGAGAGAGAGCAGCCATGAGACGGGTACTGCGGGGACTGTTCTTTAGAGATTCCCCCTACCTTTGCAGTTCTGTGATCCTTCAGAAATCCTCCATTAGTTTCTCTCAGAAAATCAGCCCATCTCAAACTTCTTCGAGTAGTGTCCCCATGGGTGCTCCACTCTGGATGCACCTCGTGCCAGCGACTGGAGATTTTTCTAGCAGTGTCCACCGCGCACGCGCTGTGGCGCCCCCTTGTCCCATTAGTGC